TTACACTAGTTTTAAAATATATTTTCTTCGAACCTCAACGTCTGTTCTCTGTGCTATTATATTGGAATTCTACCAAAAAACTGGTTTGAAGCTGAATTTTGCGTTTTTAATAATTTAATATTAAAAGTGACGCTCGTATGTGTCAGTCCTAATACCGATTTTTTCCCCTGCTTTTAAGCCTTAAACCAGTTTTAACTAAATGGGTAAACCTGGTTTAAGATTTAAGCGAAGTTGAAAAAATCGGAACATCTAAATTTACGTGAAACTTTCATAGTGTGTAGTTTAGTATTCTTCTCTGAAATAACTTGGTGTCACACCAAGAAGTCCTGTAAAATCCTCCTCAAATTTTCTTTTGAATTTCAATTAAAATTTATTTTATAATTCTCTAAAGACTTCTAAAAATCTAACACACGCCAATATCCTTGAAAAGTTTCCAAGGTTCCGAATTTAGTTTTGGGAAAAGGAATTATATTTTCCCTGATTTGTCATCAAAATTCAAGGATTTTCCCAGTTTTTCCCGGTGTTTTAACATTCCTTGAACTTTTCCGGATCACTGATTTATTGTTTATTTTAAGCAGATATTCATATTTCGTCATAACTGCTGTAGACTTCCTTACTCCACTAAGCCACTAAGCCAAGTACTCAATTTAAACATTTTGATTATATTTTTCCACTTCAAATCCTTCACACTACATGAAAAATGACTTGGAAAAAGTTAAAGATTGTACTCGAAATGTGGAAAACTTTTTATTGCATGGGTAAAAATTGATGAATTTTTTTATTTAAACTAGTTTCGAGTGTAATGTTTACATGTGCAACATCTCGTCCCAATCTGTCAAGTGATTATCGAGATGGCTTCCAAGTAAGAAGTGAACGCAAGGAAGGCGAGGGATTACTTCAAGCGCAATCCGAACCTTTCGATTCGGCACATGGCCAAGAAGGTCAATTCTTCCGTCTGGTTCGTCCAGCACTTCATGTCTTCAAGTTAAGGAAGGCGCCTAACACAACCGATAAACATAATACGGTGGCCAATTCCCGCGCCAGGAAGCTGTACCAACCGATGGAAACTAACGATTTTAAATTGCCTCACTACTTGACTAGCCTATTGGTCCCAAGCAAATCGATTAACGTATCCCATTTTAGTCGAAATTCTAGTATTACACTATGTTTGTTTTGATTCGCTATGAAAGTTTGTCAGATAAAACGAGGGGTTCATAGATTTTCCTATGTTTCGAAGGGTGCATCGATTAGCTTGGGACCGAAGATAGTACCAGAGCTGAGCCAAAAGTTGAGCACGTTTCTTCGGGACCTACTAGTCTTAGAGTTACCTCTCTGGCTATACCGCGAGTGATTGGTGGAGCCGAAATGCATCGTAATGGATGACGGCACGTACATTAAAGCGGACGCCAAGCAGATCCCCGGGTCCCGCCTGGATCTTCCGGAGAAGTTGCCGTAGAAGAAGGTCGACAAATTTGCCAAAAAGTACTAGTGTGGCCAAATATATAAAGTGTAATGCCTCCAGAAGCGTCTACTGTGCTTCCTCCGGTCCCACACTCTGTTTTGGCCGGATCTGGTATCGTGCATTACGTGAAACCGATTTTGTGCCGAAGGAGGCAAATCCGCCTAACTCGCCAGAACTTCGACCAATAGAAACATTCCGGGCGATTATGAAGGGCAAGCCCCGGAAAACAGGAAAGGTCTTCAACAACGACAAGGATTTGAAGAAAGAGTGGATGAAAGTGTGTAGTTTCAAAAATATCCGACCTAAAATGAATTTTTGGTGATCATTTTTGCCTGTTGCATTTTTTTTTTTCGAGTACAGTCTTTAGGGACTTTTTGGTGTAATAGGTTACTTTTTAGTGATTGATTTCCTAAATAGTGACCTAGCCTTTAAACGTGACCTACTAGCAGGCCTGTAAGAGAAATCATTGAAACCAGAAGGACTTCTGCAAAAAAAATCATTTTGAAAGACATCGATGCAAGTTGGAAGAACTTTCCGGGGAGAATAAGAGAAAGAAAGATTTTTTTTATGTCGAAACACACTTCCAGAAGAAGTCAGAATTCTGCATGGATCGTTCAACAGAAGTTATAAAATGAACATTCTGATAAACCTATCTATTTGCTGGATAACAATATTTCCCAGAAAGAGCCATTAGCTGTTTCCCAATTCGCGGGTAAAAAGGCCGAAAAATTAAAACACTAGGCACACTAGATATGTGACATAATAATCAAAGCCACCAGGTCTACTGTGCTGCGTACAAAGATGTGTAGATACCAATACTTAAATACTTAGGCTGTGTTCCATTTGGGGAATTTTCGCTTAAATTTGACACTTCGAAAATAAATTATAATAGTCGAAAATCTCTTCCGATTTTAGAGAACGTGTTTGTCAAAATTGATTCATGGTCTGCCAGAAAAAAAACTCTGGTTTGAAGTCTTGCAGTGAAACTTTTTCAAGCTTTCGCCACCTACATTTCCAAGTGAGAACTACTAGAAGGAGGATAGTTTCCAAGTAAAACAGACGATTTTTGGGGCGGTCTATCAAGAAAAACTAATAATTTACCGTGGAAACTTTTGCTTGAATCGTGTAAGAAAACGTGTTTGAAAACTAACTGTTATTATTTCGGTATGGATCGGAGATGTTTTCATGGAAAATTATGCATAACAAGTTTGCACCCACAGGAAGAGGTTACCTCCTGCGCAGCTGCATTTTTCGGAAAATGGTGAATATGTGCGATTTCCACTAAGATGAAAGTGAAAATTAAGTGAATTTACTTAGGAAAGGTTGTATCATGCTGGTGGTAATGGAGAATTGGTTGTTTAGGACGCCAATATTCAATAAATGTTCGTTTTGAAGGAAAACGTAACGGAACTTGATGTACTCAACACGCACCATACTATAAAATGGTGCTAGATGGTTTTCAAAGTGATAACAAGATGACTACTCATCTTTATTTTGAGTAATTGAGCAATTTACTTCTGTTTACATCATATTTACGATGCAGCATTGATGGAGCCATGAAATGAAATGAAATGAAAATGAAAGATGAAAGTTCATCTGGAAAAGTCAAAGATGCACATCAGCCTGATCGTAAAAACGTTTTCTTCTTCAATTCGAATGTTATATTGGAATGATTTTACGCAGGCTTGATGACAATTATGATTTAATGCTAATTTTCACGAATTTTATATGCAGTCTGTCAACATTATCATCATCATGCATTGGCGACATCTGCGTTGAGCTTTTACGGCAATCTCCCAATAATAGTAGCTTTATTTTCAAATTTTCCATTTGTCAAATTTAAGTGAAAATTCACCAAATGGAACACACCCTTAGGCTGTGTTCCATTTGGCGAACTTTTACTTAAATTTGACAAATGGAAAATTTTCAAATAAACCTGCTATTGTACCAGACTTATTTCTGACATACAAGGAATCAATTTTGACGCACACCTTCTTGAAAATCGGCCGATCAACAACAGAGGGATTTTGGAACATCTTAATTTATTTTCGAAATGTCAAATTTAAGTGAAAATTCACACAGCCTTAGAATCTATTTCATGCCTCTCACGCTAAAGGTCACGAGCTCATGATTCATCCCATTTTGAGACGAAGTCCTCTAAATTTGTGATCGATGTCCTTTAAATTTATCATCAGTATCATCAACAGAAAAGGTCCTACAGTTTTCACTTGAATTCAGTCACAATTTATTGTATGGTCTCTTATGTTTTATAGCCTTTGGTACAATGAACGTATTTTCATTGATATGCATATGTACACACTAAGATTATTTCACCGAAATCTATGAAATTTTACCGAAATCTCAACAACTGAACGTTCGGTAAACAGTTAGGTGATTTTTCACCGATTTCCTGTAATTTTTCACCGAATATCTGTTAAAAATTACAGGAAATCTGTGAAAAATCACCGAACTTTTTACCGAACGTTTAGCTATTGAGATTTCGGTAAAATTTCACAGATTTCTGTAAAATAATCTAAGTGTGTATACTGAATTTATTATAAAATAATAATGATAAAATAATCGATACTTGTTAAATTCAAAAAAAATAAAATTATTGTTACAGAATTCAGGCAAAGTTCGATGAATCTTGAGTTTTTGAATCTGTATTTATTTTTAGTGAGCAGTGATCGAACCAAAATCTTATTTGGTGGTAATTTAAAACTAAGGTTGTCACCCTTTCAACCACATTCATATACTTTCTACTTGCGTAACTGCCAAGCCACAGCTAACCGGACCCATAACTTGGCTCCTAGGGTGAGAAAATATCAACGACTTCCTAAGCATAGCAATTTAACTTCCCATGCGCACTAATGCATAGCTATGCTCTACGCGGAACGCCTCAAGCTGCGCAGAAAAAGCTGGCAGCTTGACACAAAATTCCAAATTCATCTCACCTCGAGACGGGATGTTACCTCACACCGAACCACCACGCACATCATCCGGTATGCATTACTGCTGCTACATATAGAGGAAATTCGAAGGCTTCAATTATTTCTGACCGTTGTTGGTTGTTGTTAACTAGCAAAAACTAGAAAACATCGTCTCTTTAAAATCTTATTTGCCATCGCCTCACCATTTTTCGATTTCGGACGCATAGATCCAGGGTTGGCATGCTCATTTTATTACACAAATCACTCTTTTGTGAATGACTTTTCACTCAGTTGATGAAACTTAATTTTACTTCAAGCAATTTATAGAATAGGATCATAGTTCACAGTATACACGCATATAGTAGTTAAATCACAACATTTGAATTCACACTCATTGAAAGTCTCAAATAATCACATTTTTGTGACGCAAAATTTGAAAACAGCTTTTCGTCTAAACACAAGTCTACTATGTTGTACGTACCTATATAAACCTCAAACTCTTTCCTATCAGTTGCTTCAAGAAGTTACGAAAAATCGAGCATGCCAACCCTGCATACACCATTTAATAAATAATAGTAGAATATGAAACAGAGCCAGGGGACACTTACATGCAAGTAAAACTTTCATAATTTCCGCAACCGGGTTTCTGCTTTCTTCCCCGAACGATGATTCAAGCGATGGAATGTTCACTTAACGGAATTCACTCAACTCTAGAAGCGGAATAAAACAAAAGAAAACACACATTCACTTTTCTGTACTTCGATTACAACAACAGCACTTGCATTTGAAAATAATAATAACAACAACGCGTGAGAAAACGACAAAACAATTTATAATCACTTCCACTCTTTTCACCGAAGTTACATTACAGTTGATTATATCTTTGCTTTGCTCTTTATGCAACAAATCACAGCAACCCACCCGACAACAAAGTGCGATGCAACCAATGTCTAAACCAAAAAAAAATCAAACTCGAATGCTTTCTTCCCTGGCCCCGGGGGTTCTAGAAGGCCACTGGAAAACGTGCGGGAGAGTCTCTTTGTGTTCGGCAGGTCCTTCGCAGAAGGACACCAGCAGACCTTCGTGGATGTCAAGATCAATGTTAACCGATCGAGGTTACACAACAGAATGTTACCTAATGGTCAAACGGTTTCTGGTTTTATACTTCGGATCCTGTCCGGCGGCGGGGCTGTAGCTGCTGTACCAGCATCAGCATCAGCATTTCTTCTTCTCCCTGATCGCTCCACCGTCTGGAGAAAGAAACTAAAACGAGACGTTGAACCAGCGAGGTTCCACGACGGACTGTTGACTGAGCGGTTGGCCCGTTGGCGCGTAAGCTTCTTTCTGCCCGGCCAAGCGAAAGTTTGGTGATGCGCGAAGAGCTTAAGGCCACTCACTGCCGATGCCGAACAGCTTAGCTAGTTTGTTGATGGTTGAGGCATATGTATGCTCTAAGTGGAGGAGGTGGTAGGCGCTATAGGCGTTTAAAACTTGGCCTCTCGCGGCCATCTTTAAGAAGGCTTGGTGATGCAGATTTGCATGGCGGGGTATGCGAGGGAAGTTTCCAGACCCTTTTATTTTTCGAATAAAATACTTTAAATTAATTTGACTGTTAAAGTTTTAAAGTTAAAATCTATCTGAACCACATTCATATTTTTTTAATTTGTGATATTTAATATAATACGTGAGACAAAACACAGTTGGGCACACCTGGGCACACTCATTTGTCCTTATTACCGATGTCACTTCACGGTGAAGTGACAGCTTATCACTCATGGTGAAGTGATTCCCATTTCATTTACACGGCAATCACTTCACCGTGAGTGACAACTGGTTACTTCACTTCGTTTTCAACGTGAAGTGACACCCTTAATCCAGCATTTTACGAGCGCTGATGGCCAATACAATCTAGCTGAGTTTCTGGTAGGGAACATTCGATTTGATGTTTGGGTTAGGTCGTTTGACGTATAAACGAAAATTTGACCGTTTAAAGATCAAACGACACAAGCCAAACTTCAAATCATATATTCCCTACGAGAAACTCAACCAGATTGTGGCGGCCATGAGCGCTCGTAAAATGCTGGATAAGGTCCATTGACACTGTTTGGTACCCATGGATAGGAATTTGCATGATCTCTAAAGTAACTGGCAACACTGTACTATAAATTTAACTAAACCTTCACTAAACTTTGACTAAATTTCATCTTAACTTGATTAATTCTAACATAAATTAACCTTAATTTTTACATAAATTTAATTAAACCATTACTAATAAATTTAACTTCTACTTAACTTTCCTCACCTTTTTTTTCGATTTATTTCCGTCGATCTTGTTTTTCGTACTGAGTACCTGTATGCTACCGACGCCAGAAAGGCAGCTCCCACACATTGAACCTACCTGTCGACCCATCAACTCATGGACCGGTGACCAACGGCCTTACTTCCCTTGCAAAGGAAGGCGTGATCAGAGATTTTATGCCTCAAAAAATCCCGGCGGCGCCGACTGGGATTGAACCCAGGCCTTTTGAAATGAGAGGCAATCAGGCTTACCACTACACCATCGGCGACACTGTTTTTTTTTCTTTTTGTTAAATTCAACATACCTTTAACTTAACTTGAATAAACGTTATCTTAAGTTTAACTATACCTTCACACAATTTTAACTATACTTATACCACTGACGAACTTATATTCTATTTTAACATAACTTGATGTTATCTGTAACTAAACTTTAACAAATAAACTTAACATAACTTTAATCAAACATTACCATACATTTTCGTTAAATTTTATTTAATTTTCAAGGAGTTCCACGAACTTTCATATAGTTCCAAGAAGTTGCAAGAACTTCCAAGAAGTTTCCCTGAACTTCTCTGGAAATAACTATAAAATAACTTTCACTGTAAATTAACTAAACTTAAACATAACATTGACTAATATTTAACATAATTTTAACTTCACTTTACCAAAACATAACTTAACTTAACTTTAGCTTATATTATGCATAACTTCAGCTTATCTTTAACACATATTTAACTTCAACTTATCTTTAACATATAACTTAACTTTAACTAAGCTTTATCTTGTTAACTAAACTTAACTTTATGTTTAACTTAACGTCAACTGAATTTTAACTCAACTTTATCGAAGATTTAACTTAAATATAACGTGACTTGAACTTGACTTCCCAACTAACAATTTTAGGCGCAGATTAGCTTGTACAGCCTAAAATTGGATTGTACAGCTAATTTTTGCCTTCATAAGCTAGTCTACAGCTAACATTATTTGTTATCATATCTTTAACTTAATTTTAATATATCTCTAGCTTAACTTTAATTAAATTTTAACTAATTACCTTAAATTAACTGTCACTTTCACTTAACTTCAACATAACATTAACTTAACTATAACATAACATATTTTTAGCTAAACTTTAATATCATTTTATCTTTACCTGCACTAAACTTTAACTTATCATGGACTTAATTTAAACTCAACTTGATTCTATCTTTAGCCAAACTTCAATTTGACTTTAGCTTATAAACCTATCTTTACTTTAGGCTCAACTTATCTTTAACTTAATTTTAACATAAATTTTACTAAATATTAACTTGACTTTGACTTAATTTTAACTTAGCAAGAACTTCAAAGTGAAGTGGCAAGTCATTTCTTGACAATCTCTGAAAATTCAAGAAGTTCCAAAAAGTTTAAAGAGCAAGGAATTACAAAAGCTTCCACTTCCAATAACTGGACATTCCCTGAAGTTCTCTGGAAGTTTCCCAGTAAAAAACTTATATTAAACTTTATCTTAGCTTTAACCCAGGCTTGCAATTGCTAATTACAGCTAAAATGCTTTTTTTCGTAATTATGAAACAATGAGATACTATAATGATAATTTTCATTTGTAAGATGCAAGAAGAGGTGGTAAAGTTTGTGTATGACATATAAAATTTGTCAATTTTGCTTTCAGAAGGTCACAACTAGCGATTTTATGTTCGCTGAATGCTCGCTCATCGCGTTGCTCATCGTTACAGCTAATCGCTAGTTGTGACCTTCTGAAAGCAAAATTGACAAATTTTATATGTCATACACAAACTTTGCCACCTCTTCTTGAATCTTACAAATAAAAATTATCATTATAGTATCTCATTGTTTCATAATTACGAAAAATAGCATTTTAGCTGTAATGAGCAATTGCAAGCCTGCTTTAACCACAGACAAACAGACATAACTCTAGCAATTTGTTCATCGAACAAGCACAAGCGTTTAACGTTTACACACTACCGCCATCTGTTCAGCGTAGTGCGCACCACATTGTACTCAACAGATGGCGGTAATGTTTTAGCGACGATGTTTTACAGCAAGAAATATTCAATGTGTTATGTCTGTTTGTCTGTGCTTTAACAGATATTTAACCTAACTTTAACCTCGACTTTAACTGAACTTTATCTTAAATTTAACATCTTAACTTGATTTTATCTTTAACTTTCCAAACACTTTTTAAAACTAAAAAGTTTCAAGAACATTCAAGCAGTAACAACAACTGGAGTTTCCCTGAAGTTCTCTGGAAGTTTCGCTGGAAATACCTTTATCATCACTTAAATTATGCTTTATCTTATCTATTTAAATTCTATGTTAACTTAACTTCAACATATATTCAACTTAACTATAACTAAACTCTAACTTTATTTTAACTATACTTTAACAACTTTGGCATAATTTCAACTTAACTTGATTTTATCTTTAACTAAACTTGTACTTAATTCGACTTAACTTTAACTAACTGACTTAACTTAAGCAGTAATTATTTTTTTCTTAACTTTGACTTAATCTTAGCTTATCAAGAACATCCAAAGAGTACCCTTATAAACAAATACCATAAACGAACTGTATCCCGGATGGGTAAACTATCCCACAAATGGTTTGGATGATACCCCGAACACGTCGTTAAGCTCTCTTTTATGGTTATTTTTATTAGGGTATCAAGCAGTGCTGATAAAAATCCTTTCTTCTACACTCAATTTAGCTGAATATGAAGAAAACCTTAACAGATAGACCAACTACCTGCATGAATTTGAATTTTGATATAAACAAATTCCCTTGATCTAGGCAACCTCTGAGTATCGAAAATAACATTTGTTTTTCTTCATTCGTGGCTGGATTCTCATTATCGCCTCTGTTGTTGTAAATATAGATATTCGTCTTCATCTTGGTCGGGATTATATTGAGGATCAAATGCAAAATGATTATTTTCATTTTAAACAAATATAGCGCTGAAGAACGTGGTTTTTAGACATAAGTCGACGGCAAATTATTGCCTCAAGCTGAACTGATGATAATATCGATGATTAAGGGGGTATTCCCAATCTTTTGCCTTTTTTCGGCCTGTTTTTCAATAAATTTTTTTTCAAGGAAAATGAATAGTAATGCGCCTAACTCTTTGGGATTCTTGTTTATTGAACATTAAAGATTACAAATAAATTTTTTTCGACATAAAAAATACATTATTGACGTCACAAAATGGCGGCAAACAGACCCCTGTTCGCCGCAAACGCCTGAACGGGCGAAGACTTTTCTCTGGAACGGCTTCATCTGAAACAGATTTCGTGATGAAATTAATAATCTGCATAAGATTCTCTGGAGCTTCTCCCGTTGGCAGCAAAAAATCTTGCAAATTAACAAAATGGCGGCCATATGAAAAAACAGGCGATTTTTAGCCCGCTTTTTTGCAGCTTTAAGGTGCTTCAAACAATGTTAAATGT